TATATATCACAAATGGGATATTATAAAACTGTTAATAATTATAATCACATTACTAAATTTTGATCCCTGAAATTCTTGGCAATACCAATATTCACTTTGTCTGGTTTTGTTGCAGCATGCCCCATATATTTTCTATAATAGTTTCTCTATAATATAAGGCTGTCAACTCATGTAGCACGAAGATATTATACTAAAATGTAAATGTGATAATTGTAAACGTCGATCAAAATAGATTGAAAAATGTAAATATAACACATTTTTGTATGGTGCATGAATCAAAGAGAGTTTTGTGTTATTTATTAAAAATTTTTTTTTTTCAATTTTGTAACTTTATTATTACAAACCCTACATTCTTTCTTAGTTTACAATTTTAAATTTTTTTATTTTAAACACAAAACGTATATTTCCTTGATAAAAAGACAAATTTCATTTCAAAAAAAAGATACATTTAAAAATAGGTATATTGAAATTATTTTACATCAATAAATTGATGTTTAGTTATTTTATTGAAATCATTTAATAATATATATACATATGTATATATGCTATTAAATCTGATTCAATGTTTTATTGGATTTAGGATTTTTATCAATTAATCAATTATTAACATATTTATATTTTAGAATACATATTTACAAACACAACCAACAATTATAATATATATACATAAATATAAAAATGATGATGCATAGACATAAACAACAAACTATGTCAGAATTACAACTTCGTCGGTTATTAGAATTTAATCAAAGGTTACGGGAAGATTTAGATCGTCAACGAATTAAAGTTAGTGATGCCAGTAAAAGGTAATTAATCAATTAATCATTTAAAATTTATAACAATTCCTTAATTTTATTATTAAAAGTATTAGAATATATTTTTAGTTTAATTGGATATTGTAAAAGTACTAGAGATAATTTAGTACCATCAGTATGGGGACCTATTGATAAAAGAGATGATCCATATGCACCATCTAGCAAAAGATGTCTTTGTGAGATTATGTAGGAAAAATAGTATATAAATATAAAATATGTCATTTAACTTATAGAATTGCCGTGAGATTTTTTTAGAAAACATGAAAAAAAATGTTAAATATCAATAGCTAATATTTTTTTTACATACCCATCATTTTCATTCATAACATTGGCATTTTTTACATTTTAATATTTCGGTATTATCATCTTTATTATTTATTATTATTTATTATTGTATTATTGTATTATATTCATTCAGAAAAAAATTTTATATAAATATTTTAAAAATAGAAATAAAAATAAAAAAAAATTAAAAGGATCATATACATGGAATAAATGGTTTAAATTAAGTTTTAAATTAATTAATAGCATGGATCCATTATGGTTTCTTTACAACAGTGTATGGAACAAATAATCCTCTTGTCAACTTAAATTTGGATTTGTAATCTATTTCACCAAATATATTTGGTGTCTTTTGTGGAGAGTGTCTTTTGTGGAGAATTTCCCTGTTATATATATATATTCATCAAATTTTAAATGTGTACAGTTATTTTAGAAATTGTTTATAAACTGAATTATCTGTTTCTTCTACACAATGATAATCAAGTTTATTTTTAAAATTTTCAAATGCTTCATAGTCTTGTAATGGAACTTGTATGCTGACCAACACTTTTCCTATATCTGTACAATTATTTGAATATTATGATTTAACAATTAGTCTAATAATGATGATGATGATGATGATGATGATGATGATTATCAATTATTATTAAAACTTGACTGAACCATGATTATGATAATGAAACAACGATATATTCCAACTTGATTTCAATCCAGTCAAGAATTTTTTTAATGCTCCAGGGAATCCTAAATATAATATAATATTCCATGAATTATTTCATAAATTACAAATGTATATGTTTGTGTATTAAGCAAATAAACAGAACTTTTAGCTTACCAATTTAAATAATCTTTCATTTTCAACAATACTTCTACCTCCTATCAAATATCTTGCATGAGTTTTTGCTATTTCATTATCACTTATATCTAGACCATGCATACCATCCTCCTTTAAATTTTCTAAAATTGTTTGTAATTCTGTACCTCTATTATCAACTCTAAATGGCATATATATCCATGCCTTCTCTGAATCAGAATACCTGTTTATATTATAATAAGAGAAAGTGTGAAGATTAATGATAGCTGGTATTTATAAATAAAACATATAAAATATATCAATCTAATATATTTTAAACTTAATTATACCCATATGAAAATTCTGTAATGGGATGTGGATTAATATGATTATAAAGTAATAAAACTGTTATTATATGAGCACATGATATAAGTATATATAAATCAAATTGACCATAATTAATAAATTTATATTATAATATACCTTCCAGGATGTTCAGGAATAATTACTGAAATTAAAGCTTCATGTTGTTCACCAAACCCAGCCCATTCAGCTACAAATCTCAAATGTTCAAAATTCATATTTGCACCTGAAGTAATGGCCACAAAACAACCCCAACTACATTATTTTCTGCAAAATATTTCTTTACACCTGCTAGTCCTAATGCACCAGCTGATTCTACAATAGACCTTGTGTCTAATAATAATAATCAAGTTGTTTTAATTTTCTTTGTATATATATATAGTATACATATAGATATGTCAAAAATATCTTTAATAGTGGCATAAATTTCATCATTTGTCACTGTAATCATCCCATCAACAACTTCAGTACACACTCTAAAAGTTTATTCACCTACAACTTTTACAGCTGCTACATCTGCAAATAACCCAAACTTCTTTTAACACAACTCATTTATTTTCCTTCAATGATAATGTCATTGCATTAGCATCAACAGTGTCTACACCAAAATTTTAATGGAGGGACATATTCTTTTTATATAACTGCCAATACTGGCTATAAGTCCACCTCCACCTACACATGCAAAAATTGCATCTATTTCATTAAAATAATGTTGTCTGAGGATTTCCATCCCAATAGTACCTTGACCAGCAATAACATATGGGCCATCATAAGGTGGTATATTGGTATATTTGTGTAGATTTTGTAAATGAAGGCACTCTTGTTTTGCCTTGTCAAAGTCAGATCTGTATAGTACAACATTTGAGCCAATCTTTCTACACTTTTATATTTAATACTTGGTGTAGTTCTAACCTTATCATAAGTATAAAAGATATCAATGAATATAGTTAAAAAATCATATTTATTTATATATGGGGCATGCTGCAACAAAATCAGACAAAGTGAACATTGGTATTATCAAAGATTTCAGGGATCAAAATTTGTAATGTGATTATAATTTGTTATCTTAAGTGATATATAGAATTACCCTTATATAAAAATAGTTAATATGAAGTTAATTTACATCAGATCTACTATGGAACCTAAGAATTATAGTCAGGGTTGTGCAATTTCGCTGTACGAGAAGAATCTTCGTACGTACGACTGACTTCGTACCATTGAGTTCGTACAGTT